GAGGGCTACTACTAATTGAAATCGGGCATTACCTAAAGCACTACAAAAAAATTTTCCTTTTGTAGCAGTCAACAATTCATAACAAAAGCCCAATTTTTGTGCAAAAAGATCTTTCATGTCGACTTTGTAACGGATTTTGACCACTTCGAAAAGGTGCGGTACAAAAAGTCGTTCTTGCAGCACAACCCGTACCAAATAGGCGGTGGTCAACGCCTTAAATAAGCAAATGTTATCCAAGAAAAATTCATACATTACCACAAATATCAACCGTTCCTTCAGGATTTATTTAGTTCAGCCATGCTTAGCTTTAAAATAAAACAATATAATGTTCCCATCATTCGGCCTCTTAAGTCTATCGCATTTACCTGATATTTTCAACCTTGCCATTTGTTATGAGGTGAATTAAACTTGTGTTCGGACGAAGAAGATATTGGTATGTGAAAGAGAAGAAGAGTAAAAATTGGTCTTGTCCCACATGGGAAGAATAAACAAACCACCACCTCCTTATATGTAAGTCTCATTTATTGTTCAATTGGGATTAGATTGGATAAGATATTGGCATGGGCTTTGACTTGGGCTTGAGATTGGGCATAAATATATAGACAAGATTGGACCTTGGGCCTTGTGGCCGTGGAGGCTCGTGGGCCTGGCCCAATCGCAGAAAAAATCAAATTAATTTAAATTTTTACTTTATCTGATTAATTTATTTTGACAATTTCAAATTTAATCGGATAAAGCAAAATTGTTGCAATAAATGTTGCAACGTGTGGAGGTGGTTACGGTTTTAGTGGCCACGTGATTTTTTAATCTTCTTCTTCTTAAATTAAAGAACTTAGCCAAAAATCTAAATAACGTGAATCAATTCCTAAAATACTCTCTACGCCATTACTCTATAGTTTTTTTTTTCTTCTTTTCTTTTCAATTTCCTCCAAATATTTTTGAAGATTTTCTTGGTTCGGTTCATGCTGGGATCATCAATCCCTAGTTGATTTGTTTTATCCTGGGAAGCAACCGGTGGCAGGCCGAATTTGCTTCAAGGAGATCGCATGCAATGCAAAACTCAAATATGTTCTTAATCAGATATGTTATTTGATTTTGAATGAGCCTCTCGATTTTCAATATTATTTTCGACTAATAATCTTGTAGCAAATTTCCGTGTGAAAATCTGAGATGGCTGACGAAAAAACTGTTACAAAATAGCGTGATGTGTTTTAGCTGATTCTGCATGAGATACTGACGGAGGGGATGAAGCTAAGTGAAACTTTCCAAGTGTAATATTATAAAAAATGAAGAATCTCATAGATGAATTGAAGGTGTTAGAACCTCCTCTGAGATTTAATTGTGAGGTTAAGCATCAATATGATAAAAGGGACAACGGGCACCACATCATTAAATTTGTGAATGGTCTTAATGACATGTTTGATAGCATAAACAATTAACTATTAATCATGGAACCATTGCCGAATCTATCTACGTCATATTCCATGGTCATATAGATTGAAAAACTAAGAGAAGTGACTATGAAGAAAGGATTATGAGTGTTTAATGTTGTGGATGACAAGAAGAATATTGGGTTTAAGAAATTTGGTGACAAGTTTTGGGATAAAAGAAAAAAAAATGACTCATAAAAAGAATTGGACATGTGAATACTATAAAAGAAGAGAACATGGAAATTATACATGCTTCAAGTTAAATGGGATTTATGATTGGTATAAACAATTGAGTGAGAAAAGAAGTAACAACAATGTTAACTCAACATCTAGTTATGAAAATAATGTGCAGGCACTTGCAACAACTGTGGAGAAATTGCAAAAAATGGTGATGAGCAAGATTCCCAATTCTCCCATTGAGTTCTCTAATGCCTTGTGTGACTTCCTGGAACAACTTCTGATTCGTTTGATTTGTAAGTAAGAGATATATCCTAGACAGTAGATAGCGGTGCTTCTAGCCACATTTGCTCCAACAAATCCTTGTACAACCACATTAACACCACCACCGACTGTCTAGAAATTCTACTTACAAATGGTTCTTTCTGCATACCTTAAATGACTGGATTAGTTCCCAAAAACACAAGCTCAATCTTTCACAATGTTTATTACATACCATCTTTCAAGTTTAACTTCATATCTACACACCAAGCCAAATTTAATGACATGTTCTCATCATATAACTTTGAATTTTTGAACCTGGTTACTAAAAGAATCATTGCAATAGCTCAATAGAAAAGGAATCTTTACATTCTCATATCTCCCCTACCTTTTCATCATGTTAAAATCAATGGACCAGCTTTTCTATGGCACAAAAGGTTGGTACATGCCTCAAAAGATACTCTATCTCATCTATCATATTGCCCTAAAACATTTTCTAAGCTCTGTGACATTTTTCACAAGGCCAAACAACATTGTTCTCCTTTCACTAAAAGTTCTTCTTGTGCTTTGAACAGTTTTGATATTGTTCATGTTGATCTATGGGACCTTATAAACAGTCCACCATAAATAAAAAACATTATTTCTTAATTTTTGTTGATGATTTATGCACTTAATTTTTGTTGATGATTTTTGTAGATATTTTTAGGTATACTTTATTGTTAATAAGTTGAGCATCCATCAGATTCTTTTGAGTTAGAGACACTATTGGAACAAGATTGAAGAATCCGGCTTGCAAAGTCGTCTCCAATCCTTCCCATGTGTGTATTTTCCCAGGTGGCAAATTAACAAACCAAGAAAAAACCATCCTGGTCAGAGACATTCCTGGAGGTGTGAGAGGAGTTTTTGCTCTCTCCATCTTAATAGGTGCTGTATCACTTGGAATGGTGCTATCCACAAATGACAGCCCTACGAAGTTTGCCTGAAGATGCGACAGAGACATTCCTGGAGGTGAAGACTTAGACTAAAGCGAAACTCTCGACAAGGCTTGATCAAGCATATCTGTATCAAGTTTTGTTGCTCGTGCAACATTATTTGTAGGGTTTCCGTTTACTGATTGTTCATTCATTGAACATGATTTAACCATTCAGATGGTATTTGGGAGACGATCCCTGTAGTGGGGATTGATGGTGGTGTTGCCGTTGTGACCCCAATGGTTGTGCTGAAGCATTGAGATTGAGAACCTACCATGAAGTTCCTTGCAACAACTCGATCAGATCAGAGTTGTATGAAACTTTCGTTAGACGTAGGATCAACAACTTTGTCTTTCTCCCACTTATGGTCGCCAATTTGTTGATGGTAAAATTTCAGCAAATAAAAAGTAAAATTCGAAAATATATTTCGAACTTGAACAATAAAGCTTGGAACTATAAATTCTCAAGCGATAAACAAAGAGTTGAAGAAAAAGTAAAGTGGTGATCCCCAATGAGATTCTCTTGGAATTTTTTCTGATTGAAGATGTTATCTGTATCACTGGGGTTGCTTATATACGTATCAAATCAAACCGTCCATAACCACTTCCATAGCGGTTACCCTTGAACCGCCCAAAACACCGCTTCTACGTCGGTAATCGTAAAAAGCTACTTCCACGTCAATTACAAACCGTCCAAAACCACTTCCTCGTTGGTTACCGATTTGAACCGTCCAAAACTGCTTCTTAATCGGTAACCTTTGTGATCAATGAACCAGCCATCCCACCAAAATTGTTTCCACGTCGGTAACCTTTGTGACCAACCGTCCAAAGCCTACGCTCAGATGAAAACTGTCCGTATGGCCAACCGTCTTACCAACCTGACCTCAACAACCATCCGACCAAATGACTCTAGCCCATTACTCGATCGCCATTGGGCTCATCCATTCATCCTTCCTGGACTCAAACCCAAATTTTATTTTTTTGTGCTCAACAATATCATTATATATATAATTACTTTTTACAAGTTAGAGGATATAAATATCAAAACCTCTTATACAATTTACTAACTAATAAAATATTATTATTTGTTAATTTAATAGAAAACTCCAAATGACCACTTCAAAAGTATAATTAAATAAATCGAAAATATATCTAGATATCATTAATGTAAATTAATTTGATAAAAGTAAATAAATAAATAAGAATATGAGGTTTGTTTGGTTTCGGTTTTAAAACCAAAATCTCACTATTCATTATGAATTCTTCGGTACTTTTCAAAAAATTATACTATTGTTTTTCATAAAATATTAATTAAGATATTACTTTCTCTGTCCCACATTGGATGTCCATAGTACCGTAGACACAAGAATTTATGATAAGTATATAATTAGTAGATAATTAAGAATGTATTAATGAAAATAATTTTTCTATAATATAAATAATTATAAATTAAAATTAAAATAACTAATTAGTTTAATTAAAATTTAAAAAAAAATAAATTAAGAAATTTAAAATGAGTTTAAGGTTTGTAATATTTTTTTAAAAGGAAAAGTGACTTGAGATGTGAAACAAACAAAAACAGATGATAGGTGAGACGGATGGAGTACTGTTTAAATCAAACTAAACATAAAATTTCAATTTTGATCCAAAACCAAACACACGATGATATGTTTTTTCACAATTGATTTTATTTATATTGTTATTAAAAAATTATTATATGTTTCTAAAATTTATAATAATTACTTTCTTCTTCCATTAAAATTAGTTCATTTGGATCCGACACGACGATTAAAAAAATAAATATTTTATTAAAAATGATAAAAGTAAAAATATTGTTTGGGGTGTTTTTGAAAATGTAATTTGATATTAAAATAAATAAAGAAATAGAATGTAATAAAAGTAATGATATTTATTGTAAATAAGTATTGAATGGGTGTAAAAATTAAATGTTTATTTTTTAATTTTGCCAAAAATTAATACTGACTTAAATTTAGGTGAAGGACTAAAAAAGAAAAATAAAAATAAATTTGGTGGACACTGAGAGAGTATATAACAAAAGAAAAAAAAAATTAAAAATAAAAAAAATAAAAAAAAATTGAGAACAGTCAAAACTCTTTTGGGAATATCCTCTATGCGTTGACCTTTCAAAACCTCCTAAATCCACATATTTGTCGTCCTAACAAATTCTTCTCTATATTTTACAAAATTCTGTCTATTCCTCAAAACCACAACTTCAAGGAGGTAGCAATTCTACTGGTGGCTGTTCCATTTCTAATTTTAAATTATTCTTCAAACACAGAGGTATGTTACATCAAACTTAATTATTTTAATCCCATTAATTAATATTTTCCCTAACAATTAGGAATAAACTTAATTTTCTATCTTTAGGTGTTGCTACAATCCTGAAACTGTTGTAATGATGGATTCTATTTTGAATGTTTGGTTTTATTTGTAGAAATCAGCTTCCAATTGATTAAATTTTGTGTTCTTGAGTAATGAAATCTCCTTGGATGAATTTAAGTACTTTATTTTGTATCTGCGGATATTTCCAAGACATTATTATTATTATTATTATTATTATTATTATTATTATTATTTAATTTCAATTTCCAGCAAAACATTGAATCAGAGTTTGACAAATTAAAGTAACTTCAAAATTTAGTTGTAGGATTTGGACAAAAAAAGGGATATTAATTTGAGGTGAAGACTCGATCACACCATAATTGATCACTCTAAAGCTTCCATCCATGGCTGAAGAAGCTCAGAAGTAAGCCTGCAGCCTATCTCTCTCCATGTACTTGCTTAATAACTTCAATTTTAATTTCATCCAATGCGTATTTCTTTTTAGCCTGGATTGAATTTGGATGGTTAATTTTTTTATTAAATAATATATAATATGATGTTTCGTCAAAATAGTAAAAAATTATGTAGAAACTTAAAAGAAACAGGCCCTTACGGTTTTTGACATAATTATACACGTACCTGAAGGTATGCAGTTGTCACCGGCGCAAACAAGGGGATCGGGTTGGAGACATGTCGGCAGCTGGCATCTCGGGGCATCACAGTTGTGCTGACAGCTCGAGATGAAAACAAAGGTCGTGAAGCCGTAGAAAAGCTCGAGGCGTCAGGCCTTGTAGATCGTGTGATCTTCCATCACTTGGATGTTACTGATAATTCAGTTACTGCTCTGGTTGAATTCATCCAGTCCCTATTCGGAAGGCTCGATATCTTGGTACACAACACAAGCCTATGTTTAAAATTTTTTACTATGCACTGGTTAGGACATAACTAAGTTGGGGAGGATTTGGCAGGTGAACAATGCAGGGATTGCCGGTTCCAAGGTGGAGTGGGAGGCTATAGATCTTGTAAGTTCATGTGTTTACCACGATGTCCGCGCACATTGTAATAACCTCATCACTTAAGAATTACTACATCAAATACTAAATTTTTTTTTTATTATTTTCAAAATTTTTCAAAATGCTTTAAATTTTTTCATCTACTTTGTTCTCTCTTAGAAAGTTCAAGCCGAGATAGATTGGAATAAGATCTCGACTGATATCTCCTATGAGTCCACAAAAGACACTATTGAAACGAACTACTATGGTACCAAAAGGATCACCGAAGCGCTTCTTCCCCTTCTCCAACTCTCAAACTCACCGAGGATTGTAAATGTATCTTCTACATTAGGGAACCTTAAGGTACAATTGATTTCTGGCAAACCCGATCCATGAAAATGGTATTGATTGGTAATAAAACTTTGAATCGATGATTTTTTTTTATTTCATAGTATATACCGAGTGAGTGGGCAAGGGGGATACTCAACGACGAAGAAAATTTGACAGAGGAGCGAATAGACGGAGTGGTGAACGAGTTTTTAAAAGACTCCAAGGAAGAGGAAGTTGAAGCCAAAGGGTGGCCTAAATCAATGGGTGGATACATGGTTTCGAAAGCAGCCATGAATGCCTACACAAGGATTCTTGCCAAGCAATACCCCAGCTTTCGGATCAATTGTCTCTGCCCTGGGCTCGTGAAAACGGATATTACTCGCAATGTAGGGGTGTGGACGGCCGAAGAAGGAGCAGAAATCCCGGTTATGCTGGCGACCCTGCCCGATGATGGTCCTACCGGTCGCTACTTTTACCGCAACACTCTGGCTGACTTCTGAGAAATACTTGTATTGTTGTTGCTGAAAGATAGTAAGCATGGATCAATCTCAATCTCATTATAATTGTATAAGTAAACACACTTATGTGCGCAAATGCAGGTGGAGATTTAGGATATTCAACACAATATTGACAACATATCAAATATTAATATCATAAAGTTATTACAGATTGGATCAAGTGCTGAAAATGAATTTTCAGCACAATGCTGAACACTTACATTTTAATTTGTATTATTATATTAATTATATTATTTAATAAACTAAATCATGTCATTAGATTTTCAAGTGCTTCAGCACCTGATCCGTTCTGATGTTATTATATACAAAATTACGGCAACATGTTGTATGCTTGGCGTTGATTTATGAAAAAAATTTATTTTGATTCAATTTTTTAATAGTGAGAATTCTTCCTAAAGTTCACCTCATAAGACACCTTTTAATTATATTTTTTCTGTCATAAAAGAATATATTTATTTTTTTTATTTGTTAACATAAAAAATAGGTCAATTTTTAATAAAAAAATTATAATATTTTTACTATTTTTTAACTTTTTTTTTTTAAAACTTTGTTTACTATAAAAAAATGTACATACTACATTAAAACACATCTCCATACGAAATGAGCTTATTTTTACTTTCAAAAGGGAATATATTATTTAAATTAATTATTACTGTTTTTCTTGTACGTTGCATATCACTACCCGAAAAAGTCATATTTGGTACGGATAGGGTGGATCGAAAATGCCTATTCTATGTGTTCTATTGTACGTGGGAAGTAATCTAAAGTAGGTTTTTTTTTTTTTTTCCTTCTTATGGTGGTGGAGTTTGATAACTATGGATCTTTTGAGTGATGCCACATTTCGAATTTTCACAATTTCCTCTTGTCTTTCTCATCTATGTAACTGAAGCAACTAATAAAGATGAGAAAAACCACCCACATCACAAATTAAACCTTAATCACTCAACATGTGTAATAGGGCAGTCCCCACTCCAAAGTGTATACAATAACCCTAATCCACAAAAAAAGGATTTTCTTTGCCGTTCTTTCTAAACAAACTAAATTTTCAAAAGTAAAAAATAAAACTTCTAAAATACTTGCATTTATTCTTGTTCTAGCACTCACGTATTTAGTCTTATCAGCTAATTCATTTTTATAGTATTATAGAGATTATTCTACAATGTCTGGATATATTTGTTATTCCTTTAATTAGTGAAATCTGAGATATGTCGAAATTCGAAGACGCAAATATGATGATTTTGAAATCAGAGTATAGGATACGAAATCAAATATAAGCCTCGCGATTTCCTTGAAGCGAATTCGGCCGATCGCCCTACCAGAATAGAACGAACTCTTTACGGACTAATTGATTCGGCGAACAAAATAGAAAGCTTTTTGGAGAGAATTTTTAGAAAGAAATTATTTTTTAGGAAATTTTTTAGAGCAAAATAATTTGCAGAGAAGAGAGTAGTTGCAGAGTTTTTTTTTTTTTTTATGTTTTTAAAGAGGAGATCAAGAAGAAAAAAGAAATTAATTGAAATGTTTTTTGGATTTCAAAATTGATTTTTGTTGTTATTGGCTTCAACCCGTGTGGCCCATCTTAAATAAGCTCAAACTCTCAAAAGAGTTATAAAGACACATAAAACTCTTTATGTTAATATGGATAATCTTTTCATATTTCTCTTTCACCTTTTTAAATACTCAATAATATTTAATATCTTTTATTTATATTATAAATTTATTTTAAATTATTCTTCATTTTTTTTATATTATCTAAGGGAGAAAATCTCTTTCAATTTACTATATTTATTTCTTATATATTTATACATACGTTACTTTATGTATTTTGCAATTACTTTATTAATTTTGTCTTGTATATTTATATTTTAATAAATTTTCATATATTCATCTTATATATTTTACTTTAATTTTTTTAATTAATATATTTTATTTGTGTTTGTTTTCTATTTCAAATTAAAAGCCCTACTTAGTCCGCACTTGTTAGATAAATTATTTACTCTCATAAAATATTATATAAAATACTATTTAAATTTAAATAAAAAAAATTCTCAATTTCTATAAATTTATCATAATCACATAAATGAATACTTGCACCTATTTCCTTGCATTCTATCACTTGCACTCAGGCTTTTGCATGGTCAATTAATCGGTTTTTATATTATTAGAGTGAGAGTTCTAGAACATTGGATATACACAATTTGTACTTATTGATAAAGGACTCTATGGCTGTTGACGAAACCAAAACTAATTAGCAAATATCTATTTTGTTATTAGCAGTTAATTGGTTTTGGTTACTGGTTCATTAGTTAGGTTTTGCTTTCAACAACCTATATATATATATATATACAGAAGAATATATAATGTATCTTTCTCTAATCCAAGAAAACAGATTTTCTTTCTTTTCTTTTTAATACTTACTGTGAATTCTCTATAATCAAACTGCTAGTTCCTTTCATGGTATCAGAGCGTCAAGATCTTCCGGGACCAAGCAATTGAAGAAAAACAACAAGCTCATCCATGGATACAGCCGCAGCCGCAGCCGCAACTGGAGTACATCAACCAACCAGCATATCCAAGGCTTTGCTCCTAACCAGTGGCGATCAACCGAACTTGACGTTATCCTCGGTGCCATTGAATGGTAATAACTACTTTACATGGAGTCATCGCGTCCGGAATGCGCTTCTAGCTAAAGGAAAAGTTGGCTTTATCAATGGAAAACAACAGAGGCCAATGGAAGAATCATCTGATTTTGATGCCTGGGTAGAAGTTGATGCCCTAGTACGAGCCTGGATTATCAATTCCATTACACCGGAACTTCAAGGTGCATTCATATATGTTGCTTCGGCAAAAGGGCTATGGGATAGTCTCAAAGAAAAGTTTGGGCAATCGAACGGCTCTCTAATATACCAACTCAAACGATCCTTAAATACTATCAAGCAAGGCGAAGATACCATAACAGCCTATGCTACTAAGTTGCAGGAAATATGGGCAGAATTGCTCATGCTTGATCCTCCAATTGAATGCTCGTGTGGAATGAACCAAAAGATCATGGCCAGAATGGAACGAGACCTGCTGATTCAGTTTCTTACTGGATTAAACGACTCATATGAAACTGCAAAGGGGCAAATTCTATTGATGGAACCTCTCCCATCAATGAGTAAGGCATACTCTCTTATCTTACAAGTTGAAAAACAACGTGAGATACACATGTCGATTGAACATAGTGTGCTCATGGTGTCCAACAATGGAGTTGGAAAGAAACAGTTCGATAAAAGGAATCTGCAAATTGACAAACGAATTGCAATTTTTGAATATTGCAAAAAGAAAGGGCACACTAAGGATACTTGTTTTTCTTTGCATGGTACTCCTGCTTGGTACAAAGAACTAATTGAGAAGAAAGGACCAACTGCATGCGTTATCACAGAAGACAGAGACCACAAAGCATGCCCAGATATTAGTGTCTTGATCAAAAGTGAGGTAAAAAAAATCTTCATGCAGCAGAAACAGCCTGACATACCAACAGAAGTTGTGAATTCTGCCATCGAGTTTGCAGGTACGGTTTCTTTTGTTGGATCTATTCATTTGGATGATAACTCTTGGCTCATTGATAGCGGAGCAACGTGCCATATCTGTTACAACTGAAAATTTTTTGACCACCTCTTCCCAATCTCGAATAATCCCCTTATTATTTTGCCTAATGGATCAAGTGTGACAGCCAACTATGTTGGTTCTGTAACCATTTCCTCTAGCCTTACTCTTCCACACGTTTACTTCTTGCCCGATTTTCATTTTAACATCATCTCTGTTAGCTCATATCTTAAACATTCCAATCATAAACTTATATTCTCTGCCAATACCTGTGAAATGCAGGACCTGAATGGTGATGTTCTAGCCACGGCAACATTAAAAAAGAGTCTCTACATCCTTTCTAGTACCTTTCATCAAATACACAGTTTATCATCATTTCAATCTCCCAATAACTCATTGTTGTGGTACAGACGTCTTGGTCATACTTCCCCAAATACACTTCAACATTTACCTTTTCTTAAAATTTTCGAGTCTATGCCTTGCGATGTATGCCACAAATCTATACAAACTCGTTTACCATTCAATAAAAGTCAGTCTTGTGCTTCCCATTTATTTGAATTGGTTCATATGGATACTTGGGGCCCATACAAATCACCCACTCTCACAAGCTGCCACTACTTCTTAACAATAGTTGACGATTTTTCTCGAGCTACCTGGACATATCTGCTCCAAAATAAGCAAGGAATTCATCAAATCATTGACAACTTCATTAATCTTGTTCGAAATCAATTTAACACCTCTATTAAAAAGATACGAACGGATAATGGAAATGAATTTTTAAACTCACAGTGTCTATTCCTCTATCGAAAGTACGGCATAGAACATCACCACTCATGCCCTTATTCTCCACAACAAAACGGTCGAGCCGAGATAAAACACAAACACTTACTCCAACTCACTCGTGCTCTTCTTTTTCAAGCAAATCTGCCCTCTAAATTCTGGGGTGATGCCCTACTACATGCCACCCATCTCCTCAATAAATTACCTACTGTTGTTCTGTCCTGGAGCACCCCATACTACAGACTCCATCACACTTCCCCAAATTATTCCAATCTCAAAACATTTGGTTGTTTGTGCTATGCATCCATCACTCAACCCCAAAAATCAAAGCTAGAGCCTAGAGCCACAAAATGTATATTCTTGGGTTTCCCACAAGGTCAAAAAGGGTATAAGCTTTACAGTCTTGATCACAAAAAATATCTTGTAGCTCGAGATGTCATCTTCTATGAAGATATCTTTCCTTACTTCACAACCCATACTCCTCCTGCGTGCGATCTATCTGATAGTCTTCCCTTATCTTCTCCAAATCTTGATAGCCCTACCTTATCTTCCATTAACATCAATCATAGAACTTCTACATCTCCAACTACAGTTTCATCACCAAGACCTACAACTACAGCTCCTACAGAATTTCTCTCAAACCCTCTCAATACTAATTCTGCCTCACCAACTCATTTAGATCTTAACCTAAATCTCGATCGCCCAAAACGCACTGTTAAACCCCCTACATGGATGAAAGATTATGTTTCTCCGTGTATATCCAACTATACTACTTTCCCTTCTTCTCATTCATACATATGGCACAGTGTCTCTGCTCTTGATGATCAAGAGCCTAAATCCTATGATCAGGCACAACATGAGCCTGTTTG